TCATACATGCTAACTCTTGGCTGAGTAACATTACCTTTCTTGGCTCTTAATATTCTGCCCAGTCTTTGTGCCTCCTATAAATAGTAACATTAATGATGACATCACATTACATCATCGGTAATGTACCTGACGTCTTGAACCACCATGAGCTGATACCTAGAAAATACATTAATAACCATTAATAACTATTAATAACTATTAATAACTATTAATAACTTACTTATATGAGTACATTAGCATCAGGAAGATCAAATGAATTGTCACCAACCTACAAAATAAATAAATAATAATAATAATAATAATAATTAATATTTACTTTAGATATAAATATTGTGTTAACTTGAGGATTGTGTCTAAAGTTTTTAAGTATCTTCATTCTTTCCTTCTGTGGAGTCTGACCATCAATGAATGGTCTATCCAGCTTCATAGCATAAGTACGGAGGGGAAAAACCATATCAGAAAATATCATAATTTTATCATTACGCCTAATAAAAAAAAATTATTATTATTATTAATATAATAACTGTGATTAATAATTAAATTATTTATTTATTTAATTAATTAGTGCCACACCTCTCATGGTATCTCATTAAAAATTGACATATTCTGAACTTGTTTGGATTCATGACATACAGTAACTAGTGAAGGAGGAGAAGAGAATAATAAGTGAAATATATTTATATGTTGGTAGTAAGTAATAGTCTAAATTGTGTTCACTTACTTTTCTTTTTCTGGTTTTAATTCGAATATATTCAGCATAAAACTCAGGAGTCATTGGGCACCAAACCTACAAACATACATGCATACACACAGTGGTATCAGTAAATACATGTACAATAAAAAATTGAAGTTGGAATCAGCTCAAACTTGCTACACAACATAAGGACATCAATATGTATCAGAAAATGTAATAAAAATTAGATTGATTTTGGAGCCATTTTTTGGAAAATAAACCATTTTTTCAAAAATTGACCTATTTTTTAATTCCAAAAAAATCCACTCAAACTTTTAAAACAGCATAAGTACATCAATATGTATCAGGAAATGCAAAAAGCATGTGTTATAATTCAATGTAGAACCTTTTTCTCTCCTCTCACCTCTGCACACTGGACCCTAGCTATAAACCCGAGGTTCTGTAACTCCATCCAATTGGCCTCGTACAGCTTAGGACCAATCAGGAAATTGAGGTCTTGTATTTTATCGTCTTCTCTCACTAGAGTAGCTGTTAGTCCTAACTTACAGTGAGCCTGTACAGCTAGGGGAAATGGGCAGGGTTAGTAGGTGTGGCCTTGTTAATGGCTAACCTGAGAGTACACGTCTAAATTTATCAGCAGGAATAGTCTGAACTTCTGCATAAAAAATAAATAATAATATTAATAAATGATAGATGTAATTATTAATTACCATCTAATATCATCAGTCCCCATTCTCTATTCTGTAAGAAGTCCATTACCTAACAACACAATAATGACATCATGTGACTATCATATAATAGTCACATGACTATCATGTGACTATGTTGTGAGGGTGTATGTGTCAGTACTTGTTGTGAGTCCCATGCTCTCTTCTGAGTGTATGATACCATTGAATAAGTACTGATAGCAATACTGGTGTTAGCTGTTGGGAGGGGGAGAGAATTATTTAGGAGGAAAAAAGTAAGCTAAAATATCTTTTTTTACATATTTGAAATTAAAATATCTTAAATTACAAAAAAGTAGAAATGCTTTGGCTTTTTATTAATAATGCATCATTTCATGGTTGCCACGCATATTAATTGCCATAAAATAAGGTAATAACAATATAAATGTAACTAAAATCCCATATCACAAAAATTAAGAAGTAAAATAGAAATATCAGTAAATTTAATCTAATAAACAACAATTCGGTTGTTACTAAAATCACAAACATACAATACTCCATCTTTATCAAATGATAATCCAAAAGGACCTTTAAACTGACCAATATTACTGCCTTCACTTCCAAACTTACTAACAAACACACCATCACTAGTGAAGACTGATATACGATCATTTCCCTCTTCACTAACATACACTAGACCAGTAGCTGCAGTGTCTGATGCTATACCAAATGGACTATTAAGCTGTCCAGGACAAGATCCTTTAGTACCAAACTGACCCACAAACTTTCCATCTGGAGAGAACTTCTGAATGCGATGATTATTAGTATCAGCAACATACACTAATCCTTGACTGTCAATAGCAAGGTTATATGGGTGGTTAAACTGTCCATTAGCTGATCCTTCACTACCAAATGAATGAGAGAAGGTTAGATCAGGATTCAAGACTTGTATACGATGATTACCCCAATCAGCAATATAAACCTGTCCTGTTATAGGAGAAATGGCTATACCACAAGGTTCATTGAATTGTAGTGGTCTACTGCCCTTCTTCTCACCAACTGATGCTATAAGGTATCCATCCATGCTTATCTTTTGGATCCAGTCACTATCAGATACAAGAATGAATTTGTCTGAAGTAATGGCTACACCATGAGGATAAGAAAGTTTGACATTACTACTTCCTCCTTTCCCTCCTAATGATTTCACTTTCTTTCCTTCTCTATCCAGTATTGTTACACAGTCAGCCCAACACTCAGTTACTATAACATGATTATCATCAGTTACAGCAACTCCCCAGGGACAATTAAGCTCAGTTATAGTACGCACTGGAGTGATGTTATCAAGGTAAGGATTGAAAGGGATGACTAGTGATGTATCCTCAAGGTGTACATCATATACTTGTACTTTTACTGTATGAGTACCACTGGTTGAAGGCTTACACTGTATCCTATACACTCCAGGATCAGTGCTGGTGGTAGTGACTGTAGTGTCAATGGGTTCATCACCTTTACCAACTGGTACTAGACTACATCTGAGATAAGGGAGGAGAACAGGCAGAAGAGATGAATCTGGTGCCTCCATTGATAGTGAAAATGAAAATTTCTTCTCTTTTGGTAGATGTTCAAAGTAACCAACTTTCTTCACTCTACACTGCCGTAGTGCAGTAGATGAGTAGCTCACAATATCTCCAATGTGATGTAGCGATTTGATATCTTTACTCAATACAAAGTCAACCTTTTCCTTTGGATGTAACTCCTCCACATTGATCCCTGCAGTAACTTCACTCATATGCTCCATCATCTGTTTCTTAGACCTCAGGACTTGTTGAGGACTGCCTGTCTTCAGACTCTGTTCTACATAATCCTCAACATCCTCCAGAACACTCAAACTCATTTCTGCTGATTTCATTTGCTCTGACAGCACCATTAGTTTATCATCAGTGACCCTCTTTGCCTGCTCAGTCAGTTTTCTCTCTGACTCACGAAGAACATTCATCATTTCCTCTACCATTTCATGTATTTCTTCTAAAACTTCTTCTCCTCTCTCTCTGATCTCACCCTCTCTCTCTGCTAGAGCAGACAGGACCTTCTTGAGTGCTTCCTTCTTTCCCTCAACTGGTGATAAACATTCTCTTAAC